CAGAGGCAGCGGGAGAACGGGAGGAGCGGCACTGCGCGCGCCGAATGTTGAGCAGAAGCCCGCAGCGCCTGCTTTTCTCCTTGTTACGTACTACGCTTTCAAATGTCGCACGGGTTTTACGCACGCCAGGAGCAACGCCTCGTGACGTAAGCGGCCACATGGACAAGGTTGATTCTATTTTACGTGAATAGGGTACATCCTGGAAGAGTAAAATTCCATGGTTTATTGAAATGAACGAACGATGGTTCATATAAAAAAGTATCCAATATTCGAGATTTTTAAAAAATCATTGACACACGCTGACGAAAGATAGAGATAAAGAATCAAGACAATTAGTTTTTGGCAGTAACCCTGGGTCAATAGGAGGAAGGCTCGGCGCTAGGCAGAGTCAGAAACAGTCTCTATAACCCCGCGATGACGGCATTCCAAGGTGTCGCTCGAGTGGCCAATACTTCACAGTTAATAACTTAGAGCGAAACGGTGGGCAGAACCCAAAGCAACGTAATGTAGAAATTGGGCCGGAATTATAGCAATACAAGTAGCCAAATAATATATTTTACGAAAAGAAGAGCACTGAGATGTTGGAACTCTTAAGTTTTATTATTTATTTTAATTCAACATTCAATTATTCTTATGAAAACAATACAGTTATCGCTGAAAATATAATACAATTTTCAGAAGCTTTGTATCCTCCTCCTAAAATGTTAATTTTTTTGGCGTTTCCAACTACAAAGATTAAGTATTCGTATTGTGGTACAATGAAAAAATATCCACGATCGAGCTCATTATACCAACTTCATCTACGAAATCTGTTTTCGATTTCTGAAACAATTTTCTGGACTACACTACTCGTTGAACATCCAATGACACTTAATAATTTTCCATTGAATTTTTAACTCATGACTTACGTGAAAATTTTGAAGAATACTACATCGCGTGCTATTTGAAGATTACAACAAGGCTGTTGATGGACTTTTTGATATGCAGATCTTTTTTTATTTATAATATACAAAGCATTTTTTTTATATTCAGAATTTCTCAGAATAAATTATACAAACTTCTAGAGCATATGGAAGGGTTGCAAGAAATCGCATTTGGCCAAAGAACATACAGTGCAAAATTTCATATAAGGAGTCAGATACTTGATATTTGCCTCCGAATATCTGGCAACCGCATGTGCAGAGGTGAATGGCAGATTTATGAATTCTCCTTGTCTGCGTCAAAACGTGACCTGCAAAACACCCGTGGATGAAGAGTTGTCTAATATTCAAAGGCAAATATCACATGTGTACCTACGTTATATGAAATGTCTCTTTGAATTTTCTTTCGCAAAAAGTGATCATTTTCAGCTCTTCGACACGACCTAGACGCTTGTGACATTTACTCTGAGGCACTTGTACAAATAATTCAATAGTAAAATAGCTAAGGTGACTGAAGCGCGTTAAGTCCTCGACTTACGTAGTTCGTTTACTTCACGCCCAGGGAAATAAGACCCCAGCAGACCTAGAGAAGCAGGACTAAAATGGAAAGCAGACGCCTCACGTAGTTGCTTTCCTTGCTATTACGTACAGAGCGGAATAAACTTCGAACTCAATTTACGTGCACTGGAAACCACACAAGGTTGCGTGAGCGCCTACGTGAGCAAGAGCTAAATCCTTTTAGCTTTGGTGAGGTCTGTGCCTCCCACCAGTACTTCAGCCTTAAGCTGTTTTGGTTTCGTTGCAGTCACTGTTACATCACAAGCAAGTTTGATGAAGTTCGTTAATAGTACAATGGAAACGCGTTCAGCACCATTTATTAACGAATATTATTAAGTAAGTAAAGCAGCGAAAGACCGTCTCGTTACAGCACAAATCGCCATTGAAAACCTTAGATCTGGGAGAGGGGCGGAAGTGCAGGTAGCATAGGAAACGAAAGGGGTGACTCCCGTGGGGAATGTTAAACAGAACCACACCTCGTCTGCTTTTCTGCTAGTTACGTAGTACGTGCTACGTGGTCTGAAAACACCAGAAGCCGTATTTGCTTTACCTTTTCAAGAACAGAACTACGTAGAGTAAAAGTGTAGAAAAGGTGTGGGTGTGGAGGGAGGGATTCATTCGTATTCGAATCAAACTCTTTCAGATACGAACTAACTTTTTGAAGAATTAATTAATTGCATTCAGTCTTTAATCTTGAAACGTTTTACGTTGAACTTGGATAACTTGAAAATGAAATTGAACTGAAATACTTGAAATGTTTTACGACAGAACTCGATAACTTTGAAGATATATCTCACAATATAAGAACATATAGTACCTCTCGGCGATCATCATTGTAAGCGAAGCCAGTTCAGTGTTCGGAAAGCAATAAAATTAATTTCAACAAACAGAAATGTTACAAATTTTATGTATTTTTTAAAATCTGGATATTTTTGGTAAAAACATCTTTGCTATTGATTCCATCTTGAGTACACCCAATACTATTTTCAATGAGGTATTGTTATTAAAGTAATTACAGTAACATTACCAAAAGTGTTGTCTCTGTCAATAAATATGTTTTCCTCTTTAAACAAAACGGTACCTATGTTGAGCCAGGTAAAGACTCGTATTCTGATATATTCATATACAAAACTTTAATCGCATGTTTGTTCATATAGCCTAGACTTTTTGCGACTGTTTTTATCTTCTTCGCAGTCACAATATGGAGATGCCCATTTGGCATTACTGACAATTAATACTCCGACCATGAAGACATTCTTCTCGGGAATGACGGAAAAAACAGAAAACCTCTAGGAATTATTATTTTTTTAAATCGTAACTGCTGGCTTCTGAAAGGAGTTCGTCATAGGCGAGTTTGCGTTAGACAGACAATACCCTGGCTCACGTAACGGCCGGTATCAACGGAGCGATCCGGCGGCGGCCGGTCATGTGTTTGTCGAAGATCGATCCTCGCGCACTTTCCTTATGTACTCGCTGCCTTCGAATCAAAGCGATTAGCGTCGGCGGCGGCGGCGGCGGCGCGACGGGCGCCCGTCGCGCGCTCTTACTCACGCGCCGCCGGAGATGCGGGCCGTTTCATAACGCTCGCCCGCCCGGCACAGCCGGGCCGACCACCGTTGCACCTTACGACAGCTCGGCCGCCCGGACACGGCGGTAATGGAGGGGCCAGATAAAAGTCAACCCACATTTGACACGGCCGTTTCGTTCGACACAGGGATACGGGTGACCCAAATCAGATCGGGCCTTTGTGACTAACTGCGGCCCATTGAAATGTAACCGTTCATTACAGAATTTCGTAATCAGAGAGAATGTAATTTAATGGAAGTTGTGGTAAACCGATACACTAATTGAAAACGTAAAATTTCATCAGTGGGCTAATTAATATTGTTCACGTTTTTATTTTGTATTTAAATTATAAAGTTTATTCCAATCAGAAACACAAGAAATGAAGCTACTGTTCCCGTAGTAATTTGAAATATTTTCTTTTACCTCTAGGCAAAAACAAATAGCAGATTTTTCTTTGACCGCTTCGGTATTCCTTGACTAAATAAAATTCATTTTAGTGAAAGCGTTTTAACGAAATATCTAATATACGTTTAATTTTGCGGCAAATTCAGTGACAAGGGATTTCGATCTCAAGTTATTCAAGCAAAATCTGCAAGCGAAATTGTGAAATGGGCTTTAAAATTAAAAAGAGATTTACTGGGAATTTTATGAGCGTAAAATACTGAACATAACAGCACATTGGTAAACAACGCCTATCTTAAAACGCAATTAACTTACTTCAACATAGTTTAAGCGCACACGAATTGTGGTAAGAGCAGAACAAACCTTATACAGAGCTCTTGAAAACGATTATCACAGTCACACCTCGCCCCTATTTCAGGCCAGTCGCGTAGCGTCAGCGCGTTAGCAACTAAAGCAGCTGCGGGAGGCGATAACTCACCTTCGTACATCTGAGCATATTGCGGGAAGCCGGCCGCCCTGAGCCACTTGCACGCCTCAGTCGCTTCGATCTCTGCAACAGACAGAAGACAGCGTCGGGTCAGCAGGCCGCACGCCAGGCTGGGCGATGCGCGCGGGGCGGGGCGCAGAGGGGAAAGCAGGGCGGGGCGTGGCGGGGCGGGGCGGAGCTGGACTCTCGGCACGGAAGGGCCGCGACGAGGGCAAGGACACAGGAAAATGGAACCACACGGAAAGGAACTACACGGGAAGCGAGATCGCCGCGGCGTTGGATGGGGAGATAGCTGGAAAGTCGATGAGAAAAGGACGGGTTTTCGGGATAGGATCTAGGACAACAAAATGTATTCTCTTGGGTACTTAACAAAGGTAATATTAATATTCACAACAATCGTGTTTGCCATTTATAAAGCATACACTTACATTCTGAAGATATATACAATTTATTAAAAAAAGTTTTTCAAGGCCTCTTATTTGTAAGCAAAAATTTAAAATTTCCAAACCATTTGCACACCTATTATTCATCTAGTCAAAAAAAAACCAGCATGCACATATCCAAATGATGTTTCCTCTTGAAATAAATTTACCGTTATGTCACAATTCGGTGCTCAGAGAAAACTAAAATGAAATGTATTAGACGAGTTGCTTGGAATAGTCAATTGCTTCTTCTAGAAGTCAACCTGTCATTTAGGTTTGAAAATATTCAGAAATACTCTCACGCAATTACTCCTGTATTTAAATGGTTTTCGTATGAGAAGTTGACTCAGGTTCCGAGAGCTTACTGAATGGAGGAAACACCAGAATTTGAAATGTTTAAAAACTCGCAAATGAAGTAAATTAAAAGGAACAAAGAATGTAATAACAAATAAACATGAGAACTGAATAATAATAATAATAATAACAATAACAATAATAACAATAACAATAATAACAATAATAATAACAACAACAACAACAACAACAACAACAACAATAATAATAATAATAATAATAATAATAATAATAATAATAATAATAATAATAATAATAATAAACCAGCCACCCATGAGCAACGATCTTCCACTAACACAATCGGCCAATCGGTGGCCACTTCGCCAGCTGCGGAAAAACCCTCCGGCCGCCGGCTGTCTCCGCCAGAGGCATGGCGTGCAGGCGCAGGGGCCGCATCTGAATAGTGAACGTCGAACCCGCGGCAGCTGCTTCGCGAGGCTCTCGCGTGAGGCGCCCCCAGCGCCTCCTTCCATTATAATGAGCTCGCGAGAAGCGGCGCACCACGTCGTCCGCGGAAGGAAGAGCACTCATGGGAAATCCCCGCCCGCCCGCCGTAAAACTCCGAATTGACACTTGGGCTGCACACAACGCCTTTGAATGCAGTAATTCCGCATCGATTTAGATGGCTTCGTACGCCCTTTTCCGAGTCCTTTCGTTATGCAGCTCTGATGTAATAAATGTAATTAAACGAAAATGAAACTACAATTGCATTTGAAAATGGTTTTAACTAAAATTTCAAATTGTTTCCTGAAATTATTATTATTATTATTATTATTATTATTATTATTATTATTATTACTATGCAATTCTCATGTTTATTTGTGTGAATTATCTTATTTCATTTTTTGTACCTTTTAATTGATTTCAATTCAAGTTAAGATGTTAAAAACTATGAAATACGCAACAGACCAACGGTATTTAGGATTAACCAACGGTATTTAGAATTACACCAATGAGCCGTAATCATAGTGGCCGTTTAAAATGGGTGTTACGTAAGTGACTGATTCTCTGTCACAAACAGTCCTTATTCGCAAATGAGTGAGCTCCAGTGATCACTCATTCCTACACGGGAGGTCGGCTCCTCTCTTTCATGTTTCCCATTCAACCTCCGTTTAACCAGTTTAGGTAGTACAATCGCGGTGCTAACTTTTATAGCGGAAAATAGTGACAATGAATTAGCGAAATATTTAGAGTTCAAAAGGAACACATTCACACTGTGAAAGGTAAATATTGAAATAGATAATCCACTGAAATTGTACGATAACAAACGATTTCGATGTTGCACTAATCAAATTGGACGGTCTACGAAAAAGTGAAAGTATAATCTGCGACCAATCAACTCCAAGTTAGTGCTAATGGCAGGTTGCTTTCCCATCATTTAAGGATTACGAATTTATTTCAAACAAGTACTTCAGACAAGGATATCCTAAATACTAAGTAAGCGTATGTATACTTTTAATTCTGTCATTAATTCTATATTTATGGCCAATACTGATCAGGAAGAATATGTGTAAGATACAAAATATTCGCAGGTACTCTTGTACATCAGACAAGGTACTTCAAAAAAATATACATTGAAACGATAGAGCTAAATTTGGCTAAATATTTGGATAATATGGCTAAATTTCCAGTTATTAGTCAGTTGAATTAATAAAATTTTTCAACAGGTTTCTAAGCAACATTAGGTTCCACACAATACTTCAATACAAGCCAACACGATTCAGACACGTTCACTCGTATACACACACGCGTGAGCTCCGCACACATATGGTAAGATGGTATCGCCAAACCAACGGGGGGAAAAGTTCAAGGATATCTGTGGATCAGAGGCACTGCGAGCCTACGACCACCGCTTATTGAACTCCGCGCCTGCCCTTCGGGCGGCGGCCCACACGACACGTGCTGCACCCACGTGGCCAGCTGCGGAACTGCGAGCGCCCTGCGCACCGGCGCTGGCGCCGAGCCGTCTCCGGCCGCCCAGGGGTCATCGCTCGCGTCAAAGCGCCGCTCCGCACCGCCGTTCCAGAACTCCACGGCCAAATAAGAGCACGCCCAGGCCGACGAACACCGCTTTTTTGGCCTCCACTGCCCAATGAGTCACCTTTATGTAGACCGCCTGCTTCAGATCGCGCCGAACCCGCTATCGCCAAAGCCTCCGCCGTCATCGGAATCGCCCGCATACTTTTGCCTACCTACGCAAGTTGGTTGTCACGCCAGAATGTGCGCACTTCTAAATAGGCAGTAAAGAATAGTGCTTTAAGTGGTATTCCGTATACCGTGAAACTCAGCAAAATACAGCCAAGATGATAGTTTCAGATAATGAGGTATGTAAATATTTCGCATTCTTCTATTCATGTAAAAGTGAAAGGTTAATACTGAATATGTTCCATTAATTTCTCAATAAATAATTAGCATGACGATAGTATCACAATTCTACAGTGCACTTACTTTAGGTACATTACGAAACAATACTTGAAATTTGCACTGAATTGCGCCTACCTTGTACCACCCTCAACAGTCAATTTCACCGGGTCCAGAACTTCACCGCTTGTCCTACCAACGTCCCAAGCCCGCCCGCCAAATACAGTACTACAGCCTGGGGTAATTCTCCCTGCAGGCGTCGCCGTCGCCTTATTCACCATAACCACCGCCTCCCGTAGTATCTCCTCGCACTCGAAATCCACATCCTCGCGGGAAATCCCCGACCGCAAGCGGTCAAATTAAAGCTTTTACTCACACACAGCCGCTGAACAACGGTTCTTTGAGCAGCAATTCGGCGTCGATTTAGGCGCGCGGGTAGCGCCTGCAACACATCTCACGCCCACCAACATCTTTTCTACAGCCGCTCTCGCTTCGTTCGAATCCTTTCCTCCCGGAGCCACTGCGAAGCAACCGCTGCGCACATTCACAGCGATGTGCCGATCGATATTACCAAATGCAGCAAAGTAAAAACAGGCATTGCACGGGGCACGGAGTGTCGATACGATTGCACGCATGCGATGGAAAGCATAAGGCCGCTTTATGAAGTTCTGAACGCGGTTGTGAAACGGTTGGATCACGTCCTGGATTTGCGCGTTTCCGCCTCTGCGTGCACTTTGTAAACACCTACTACGTGCGTCCTCCTTTTAGGCCATGACGCAATACGAGCGAACGTGCTGCAAAAAAATACACGGATTCGAAAAGCGAATGCAGAGGCCAAGCGATAAGATACACTGGATGTGAATACTAGGCGAGTAGGCTCCCACCGGAATCAAAGGCTGGCCTCTAGGGGATGATTAGATAAGCGGACAAGGGGGAGGCTATCGTCATACGTGCATTGGATTCGGGGAAGGAACTGGTCGGAAACTTGGTAGAGTGGCTGCGGGAGAGATACGAGGAAAACGAAATATTTCCGTGTAGATAATACGAATGAGGAGTATATATAAGAGGTACTCGAGATTTCAGGCGAAATGAAGATGTTAAGCTTAAGGTATTATGTGAATAACAAATTATATAATACCAAGTAAATGGGAGAACACACTGATTTTTTAACAACTTAAGACTACTGTGTGTCACACTCTGAAGGATGAAATCAAACGCACACATATTCAACAGCGTTGAAGGGAAAAAGAAGCCCTTACGTACAAAATGCCGGATATTGTATCATTTATTCACGCATAAAATATCAATGCTATAGTAGTACTTTAATACTTAGTACTTTGATACCTCTAAATAATTTGTCACACTTTTACCTTTCATTAAGTTACATATAGAATATAATTCAGAACGGTGCAATATTTCGCTAGGACGACAAAAGTAAATAATTTCCAAGCGAAATACACAAGGGATGTAGTATAATATATTAATACAGTACAGTATTTCAATTAATGAAGACTGAGAGGGGAATATGTATGCATTACGCAAACATTATACTAAGAAAATGGATATAATACTTTTCGCAATACGAAACTATTAATGGACGCCAATGAAATGTGTTTCTGGCGAGTTCTGACGGTCAAACGAGAGTACAACCAGGACAGCGTGAAGCGGGAAAGCGACGATCGCGTGGACAATAATCGCCCCAGCAGCGAGGGGGGTGCGAGATCGGAAGGAGGACGAATAGAACTGCTGCACGAGCAGCTGGACTCCACCCGCATAGCCCGCGCCAGCTGCCTGCGTCGCCTGCCGCTTCGTATTATTAGCTCCCGATGCCGCGCTGCAGCCGAACCAAAAGCGGCCCCGCATCAGTCAGCGGAGCAGCCCGGAAGGCAGACCGGATCACCAGGCGCAGAGAGGCGAGTCCTTTGA